ATGAGCTCTTCACTCTTCTCTGTTTTTAACCTCAGAATGTAAATTGCTAGAACCTGTATTCCTATTGTCTTACGCTGGAAAGGGTTTATCATCTAAAAAAAAAAAAAAATTCACAATATTAAACTTTAGAAGATTCCTTTGTCTACAAGCGATTCAACGGCTGTAATTGGTCAGAGTGTTTTATGAAATCACTCAAATGTTTACGTGAGTAATGAGACACATTTGTTCGTTCAGATTAATTTACTTGCTTTAAATTGCCCTTTGATAAGTTACCGGCATTGCTGGCCTTTGTAATTAATATGTTGTTCTTTCATAAAGAGAATGATGCAGAGAAAATATTCCTGCATTCATTTATTAAATGAGACATACAATTAAGCAACAGTAGCACTGCAATTAATGTATGAGCGACTGTCATGACAGTGGGGTTGGGATAATTAATGTCACCTGTCATATTCTAACTAATTAAGCTCAAATGACAGCATTAAAAACCAGACCAGACCAATTAATTTCCAAGTCACTAAAGCTTTAACATCTGTTTACTGTATTGGCAGCCGGTCTGTTAGGTTTCTTCTTACCCTCCTACATCTCTTTACACCGCCTGCTGGGTTTTTGATTCCCATGTTGTTCTCCTTTTCATCTTTAATTCTTTAGCTTTAAGTTTCCTTTTTTTCTTTCTCCGCCTCCTTTCCTCTGAAGTAGTTAGAGTGGCTCATATGGGTGGATAGGATGGTGGGGGTAAAAGGTTGAAGGTCATGTTTTGAATCCATTAGGGCCATCTACTAACACAGAACCTTATTGACCTGTTAGCTGGCCTCCATATGTTTACACAAATGTGTGGACGGCGTGTCCGCCCACTCCAAAATGCCCCTGTGCGATAGCTGCATATTCACTAATGTCTAAATCCATAACTGCTAATATGAACTTCATTTTCTTTTGAATTACAGGATGTTCGTTTTCTACAGTGGCAGAGGTTCTTCAGCTACCAAACTAAAATGTCTTTTGAATTCTAAGCTCTGCTCTGTCATAACAAAATTAATATACAGTCATATTCATGTTCTGTTAAAGTATTTGTCTGGATTAAAGTACCTTTAAAAAAATAACTATTAACCACACTATTCACTGATCCCCTATTTCAACCTCAAAACTTTTATATAGTAATGTTCCGATCTTAAATTAGTTTTCATATTTATTGGAAAAAAAGGCTTTAAAACTTCTTGAGATAAATGAACTTTTCCATAATATTAAAATAAACAAGACATGACAGTTTATATTAATTTTATTTATATTAACACCAATTTAAAATTCTAATTTTGCTTTACTACAGATGTGCAATTTATTCCATGTTTTTAGAGATTTGAAAAAAACTAAATAGACAATAGACAAGAAAAGTGGATTTTAGTATATTGGAATAAAAAAGGCAGCTCGTTTATTTTGATAACTAAATAAAAAGGGAAATTTACAGATATGATTTAGTACAGAAACTTTCACATAGAAAGTTTACCCAGTCTCTGCTTCTGTTACCATAGTAACAATCTCCCCAGAATTAACCTGGTCAGGAGCAGGTTTTGTTCAGTAAACCTTTGCCGTTTCTCCATTCTCTACAATGCCAATACGGACTTGTGTCCTCGCCAAGTATGTTGTTGAGAAGAACACAGGAAAGTATGGACTTGGGGAGAACGGGAGCATTCAGAATAAATATGGGTCAATTGGAAAGAAGTGTACTCGTGACATCACCACTAACTGGCTCGTCTAGAGCTGCATTTCACCTCCTTTTATTAATAGTCTCTATATAAGTATAAATTATTACTTTTTTTTTTATTTAGAGGCGGGAATAATAATTAACACATTCAAACAAATTAAATGAACATTTTGCCAGATAAAACAGAAAAATCGCCATCAGAGCCAGCAATCCTTCACACACGGCTATGCCGAGAGAGGGCCGCTGCAGACGGGCTGCGGTTAGCCTCGGAGGTCCGCTGGTTGCCGTGGTTCTCTCAGATTTGGATATTTTTATGTAAATTATGCACTAAATCAGTAAATAGACCATATGGGACGCTTTAAAGTACAATATTCTCGCCTCAAATTATCTTAAAATGTACTTTTATTGAACAACAGCAACAGAAAAGAGAACTTTTAACTTTCAATGGAGCGCTTTATTGAAAGCTGCTGCTGCCACAGTTCTGCTGCTGTCAATCTCAAGAACGGACAAGTCTGCTCTGATGCATGCTGGGTAAATGGGGAGGGGCGAGAACAACATTCGGGGACTTTGTCCGTTCTCAGTCTGCTGTTCTTGTGAATTGGAACAGAACTAGGACTGAGGCTGATGACGTTTCACGAGCAAATGAGAACGCACAAGTACACATATTGACACACGGCGCTTGTCTCCGCTCTTCTTAAAGTCAGTCGGTCGTTTTATTTCCTGATCTAGTCAGTAGGTTTTTGACGTAGTTTTGTGTGAACAATAAAAAAATCTGTCACTAGGTCCGTTAGACATATTAGGTGTTAAAAACAAATATTGCATGTCCTTTAGATGAGGATCTAATTAAAGAATGAATGGCATTAATTCACAGAAAATTAAATATCTATAGGGAGAGGGTTCTCAGACCATGTATAATTGTCCTTTATATTCAGAAAAATATCTTTATGAGCGCTACCGTCACAGCCCATCACATACATCCAGAGCTTATCCATCACATTAGCAGCATTACTTCTTTAGCAGATCTTTAACAGAACTTGATAGCAGGAAGAGAAGGTTGATGTGTGATAACAGCATTATTGAAAAAACAGCACAGTGAAACAGCCACTTAGTATTCACTGTGTAAATACTAACGGAAATTAAGAGATTTTATCTTCACCTGTTTTCAGGTGCGCTTCTTCCCTGTGAGATTGCGCTGAAATTTAATACAATACTCCACTAAATTAAAATACATTACATTAAATACAGTACATGAAAATAGCTAATTACAATAGTTTGTTTGAATATTTGTCCCTGATGTCTAAAATACATTTTTCTTTTTTTGCTAAAATGAACATTTCAAACAAAATAACATTCTTCATATTTACATTAATGCTTCTGGAGTTCTGGAAATAGAACGGTCACTTAAAATATCTAAATATTTCTATGTATATATTCGTTAAGTTCGAGGCTTTTAAAACCTCAAACTCAACCGTATTTCTGACATTTTGAAATGAAAAAGTTTCCTGGATGGGAAGCGAAACATCTTCAAACTTGTAGACAAAGTCCAGTGCATTGTTTTTTAACTGTTTGATGTTACGATGACTTGGATGACTAGGAATCTTTACCAGCTTCTAGGTATATAAAACCTAATTTTTATTAGGTTATACATACATAGGTTATATGTTTTATACTATTGTGTATATATAATATTATTATATACTATTTTGTTTTGTTTTGTTACAGTCTGAAATTGAGTTTCTGCTGAGAAAATAAAAATTACAACATCTCTTATTATGGAAAAGGTTTTTACCAGGAAGAATCTTATTTTAGTGATCTACAAATGGAACAACAGAGAAGAAATCTCTTTTAATAAATGTCAAAACGGCCTGCCATAGGGGACTTTAAGGCACTCTTCTTTGTACTCCAGGATAATGATTTCCATATTAAATATAGAATGTTTTGGGTTTTTTTTGTTAAAAAGAAAACATTGGACTTTTTATAGTCTAGTCTTCTTACCCCTTGAACCAAATAAGATCCTTCAGTCGCCATTTCTTCTTCTGTAGTAGCTTAAAATAAGGAATGTAAAAGTAACAGCAAGCATAAATCGAAAGCAACCAGAACTTCTCCCACTCTTATGAATTGGTTTTGCCTTCTATCAAGGATTTAATATCACTTTTGATGGCTTACATTTGAGCAACCTGGAGTTTGGATGTGATCTCATCATGATGTTGAACTGCAGACATCCAGAACTGACAAAGATTGGTACTGAACTGTGTTTTGAAAACTGAGTGGAAATCCAGTCATCTTCGGTTTAAGGCTGTTGTAGTTTTCTAGAGAGAGTAAATCTCCACAGGCAGAATGTGATTTCTGGATGTACAGACTTTATTTTACAATCTTTAAAATAAGGGCACCATAACTGTTGCTTGTGTACCTTCCCCAAACACACCTTTTCTTCCATCCAACATTTCATTTAGATCCTTAGATACAAAACTCTCTGACCAGTCAGCTTTTTTTTAAGCAATATTTCTGAGGCTGATAATATAATGGAGGGTATGGTTGACTGTTGAATGAAAAACTTTAGAGTCGGCAGCCTTCCTAATGACTGCATAGGTCAGAACAGGACATTTCTGGTGTAAAAAAATCACATTCAGTGGTACTTACGTACTTATGTACTATTTGAATTAACTGATTATATGAATCTTGGGTCCCCAAGCCTTAGTCATCAAAATCAACAGAAATTAAGCCATAAAACGTATGTTTAATCTATCAAAATGATTTATTTAAAATTAACTTTAAAGTAATACTTAAAGTACTTTCTAAGTTATTAAGCAAATAATAGAAACATACCTTAGATTTACTTTAGACTTGCTGTGTTTGGTTTCAGTATCCATGGTATGCTGAGGAAAAATACCTTTTTCATTTGGTTGTCATGCCCACTAAAACATTGCTGCTTAACAAGACCGTCTGCTTGCCTTCAAAAATTAATTGGTACTTCATCTGTTGCTCAAATTAGCATCTTCTCCTCTCATCATTACACATATTTATATTTTTCTTTCCCTTTTGTGTTCCAGTCACTTTTTTTTGGTAAGAATCGAGCATTTGGGTCCTCGATTTCAAATGGAGTTCATTAAGGTTAAAATCAAAACATTGGAGGTTCTTTGATTGTTATTTTTGCTTACTTGTTTTATTAATTCAGACATTATTCCTAATATTAGCATTTTTCCCTCTTTTTTGATTTCTGCCTATTGTTAAGTATTGAAAAATCACCAATCAGTGGCTGAGTAATAATGAAGATGTGCTGTTTGTTTCTGTGTGTGCGCAGGCGGCCAGTCCTGATGTGGAGGGGCCTACTGGGATGAAACGAGCTCAAGGCAAACAGACCTTTAGCAGCAGGTCAGTTACCTATTTTCTGCATGCTTCAATGAAAAACTATTTAAATTTAGATTTAGAAAAAAAAGTTCAGATTGATTACTGTCAGAAATTTTAAAGCTGTTTTTTTTTATTTTTTATCTGTAATAAGCTCTTGGTCCTTATCTGTTCCAATGACTTTGTTTTCATTTGCTTTGCTGGTAATTTACCCAGATGAACTGCAGAATCATTGCATTTGTTTGTGTGAAATGAGTGTTTCTGTCCAATGAGAAGGTTGTGTTTGTGTATATTTGTCCACATTCATGTTTGTTGTTTTTTATAAGTGTGCCTCTGTCCCACTTTCTTTTCATTAAAGCTGTTTTCTAATCCAGATCAAGGCTCTTGCAGATACATTTACTGTTAAAAAGCTCCATCATTAGCTAACTACAAAAGACTGCCAAAACAGGGTCATGGTCTCTCGTACACACACACTCACATAAAAGACATAAAATATGCTTAGATTGCCATAAACACATGGTCTCAAAGATAAACAGCTACAAACACAGTTGGATCCGCTATTTTTAAATGCAGGCACTAATGAATGCTGCTTAATTAAGTTCTGGGTTGCAGAATGCCCAGTGTCTCTGATGGGCTTTATTTTTCTGAGTCCATGAGGAGCATGAGGCTCTTTGGGGAAGGGTTTCTACATTTAGACACGTGAGGAAGTCATGCAGCTACTTTACGCAGCAAAACAGGAGCTCACTATAGACAATCAGGTTAACAATGATCTAAACGAGGCTGTAATGCTTAGATCTGTCTTGTGTTGGATTAAGTCTCAAATACTCAATGTTTTGCATTATCATAATGCTCTAATTAAGTGTGTTTGTATTTAACCAGCTTGTTGCTTTTCTCAATAAAAAAACAACATAAGCTTCACATATCTTCTCATCTTTCATAAAGAACTTGAACTTAACAAATATTTATGATATGTAGCTCATTAAGTATATTTAATCTTTTTTTTGTTTTTGCTTTTTTTAAATCAATATGCAAGTTTTTTTAGGGTTCTGATAGACATGAAGGTTTATAATTTAGGCTTTTATTGCAACTATGGTTTTTGTGTTGAATTAGGAAAGTTGGATTTTGGCAATGAATCAGTATTTATTAGGGATTTTAATCATGCATAGAAAAAACTTGATCTAACGAAGGCTTGATCAAACATGCCTTTGCTGTCTGCAGTTTGCTGTCTGCACATAGTTAGTGCAATGGTTTGCTGCCTGGAATGGAGAGGAAAGCGGAGGTCCACTATTACACATCATTATGCTGCCACCCCCATGCTTGGCTGATAGACTTAATTCTTAGTTGACAGCAGATTTAATTCTTGATGGTTCCTGGTTTGTTCAAGAACTTTATTCCAATGTTCTCTTTCATGAGATATGCTGGTGAAGATCCTCAGTCATCCAGGTCATAGTCATTCCAAAAAAGTTACAAAACAATCCAGTGGATTTTAATGACATTTCGCTTCCCATCTGGGAAGATTTTTCAATTCAAATGTCAGAAATAGCGTTGAGCGTTCCAATAAACTTGGAAACAAAGTCCAGTGGTTTGTTTTTCAACCTCTTTGATTAGATGTCATCATCACCTATAAGACAAGTAAAATATTTAGATAATTTTAAAAATGGATCCAAAAGATAATTGGAATGTATGTGTTAGAAATAACCACAAATTACGATGTGGTAGTTTTGTAGTTATATGATACATTTTTGAATGAAGCATAGAGTAGGTTTGAGTAATGAATCTGGCTTAACTTACATAGAGCCCTTTTAGCCTTTGTAGACCTCACCTTATACTCAAAGAAAGATGCATAAACATGTAGGATTGTATGTTTAAAGGCATTAACTTCTATCCCTGCTGTGACAACTTGTTTGCGCCTTTAATAGACAAAACTGACAGAAAGATCAATAGCTAAGCTAGCTATGCAGAAAGATTTTTGTTCCATTACCAGCCCCGGTATTGAACAACGCAGTGCAGCAAATACAAAGGTAGTCACTAACTCCCATTTGTGTCATTTTCACTCTAACTTTTCTTTTTCCACATATCCATTCATACACATAAAAAAAAAGAAAGTCTAATCATATAAGAACTATCTCAGCTGGGAGTAATTTAAAAGTGAAGTAATGATTTTTCTGCTCACCAGGGAAACGACCCTTGAAATTGCAAAAAAAAACAACAAAAAAAGTCCAAAATGGAGAAAGGGTCATAAATATGGAAACAGCCAAGCAGGGGTTGAATGATTGTGTGTTTTTATTTTATGTGGCCGTCTATAAGCACTCCGTGGTCCGCTGTGTATTTACGTGTGACTATTTCTGCGCTTTCAAATGTACAGTAATGGCTCATCATCATTTTAACCACACCACATACACCTCAAAGAACTCATTACGCGTAAATCAAAATGTCCTTTCTCCTACGGGGAAACTGATTTACTCTAGATTGGTTTATTGAAATGGCGTTTCCACTATATTTCGTTGTGAGTTTTAAAGGTGCTTTGGAAGCCGGAAAGGGGGACAGGTAAATAAGTTCCACTGATTGCACAAAAGCAAATCGATTCAAGAAGCTTCATGTGGTTTAAGAGCAGCTATACATCTTTGGTGATCTGTGCCTCAGTAAATTCACTCATCAGCAGTGAAAAAAGCTCCTAAGGACATTCTGCTTACAATCAAACCTTTTCTTTATGTCTATCCTGGTCATTTTAAGCTGTTTTGCTTACATATGACTCAGTTAAGGACTTTTTAGAAATTGTAATGATAGAAATTTCAAAATAAAACTATTTATATTCCAATAGATTTCATAATTATTGTATTCACTCATTCATTTTTCAATAATTAGATTCTGCTAACACCCAAACCTTCTCTTTATGTCTGTCCTGGTGATTTTAAGCTGTTTTACTTACATATGACTCTTTCAGTTAAGGACTTTTCAGAAATTATAACTGATAGAAATTTCAAAATAAACCATTTATATTCTAATGGCTTACATCATTATTTTATTCACTTATTTGTGTAATAAATGATATTTTTCTATTCTAATATATTTGCTTTCATTAACATTTGGTTCTAAACAACTTTTTTATGCATAGATCTGGGAGCTTAGGGGCCATAAAAAGGGAAATACATTGATAAGAATAATAATGAGAGAGTGAAATGCATTGATGCAAAGAAGGTGGTTTTTAGATGCACATCCTCCTTTTTTCATTTATCCGTCACTGTTTCTGCCTTTTATAGAGAGGATCGGTAAAGTGGCAGGTGGATAAAGAGAACACCTGCTCTCTTCATCTCTCTTTGCTTCTCTCTGTCCTGCTCTCTGTGCATGCAGCTCCTTTTTCCTCTCCCCTATTCATTCATCGAGCTGCGTCTCTCTCTTTTCTCAAGTCTCACCCGTTTTGTTGCTCCCGCTCTCAACCCCACTTCAGTGTTGCATTGATGCAGCCTGTCAAACATCTTTCACAGAAAAATATAAAGGAAGAAAAAGGAAATGCAGATGGATCTCAATTGCTTTTGTGTACGTGTGTGTTTGTGTGTAGTAGGTGGAGATCAGAGGCGCAGCGGCAGGAAGAGATAAAGGGAGGGGTGCATGTTATTTTCCTGCTCATAATAATTCTTTTTATTAGCCTTGTCTAATTAATTCAGCGCCTCCTCTCTCCCTCATCTCAATGTTTCATTTCTAAGCCTTCCTTGATTCCTCCTTTTTTCTGTTATTATTCAAATTGACACCATGATTTTAGGATGGGTTGTCAATATTCAGGGCTCTGTCTAAGAAAAGAAGATCTCATGTCACTATAGTAAGGAAAATATAGTAATACTACAAGCTGTCATGAAGCGGTGCATAGTATTCTTTCACTCTCTGTATGTGTATCCCAAAGTACCAGAAGTGAATAAAAGTCTACATTATCACCAAGAAATTGGGCATATTAATGCATCTTTACAGTTTTTAGTGTGTCCGTCCATCCATCCATCCATCCATCCATCCATCCATCCATCCATCCATCCATCCATCCATCCATCCATCCATCCATCCATCCATCCATCCATCCATCCATCCATCCATCCATCCATCCATCCATCCATCCATCCATCCATCCATCCATCCCACTTATAGCGGCATGGACTGAAGCTTATCTCTGTATATGAAAATTATTACTAATTTGCAGCATGTGCACAAAGCATTAGTTTGCCGAAATGTGTCTGTTTATTCTTGCTAATTTACCAGATATTTTTTTCACTTAACTGAAAAAGTTTAAATATGGTTTTAGTTCCCATTTGCCTTGAAACCACCTAAATTCCCAGTCTCATTTACTATCTGACACTGCGTCTAGTGAGATATCTGCACTAAATACCCACCTGTTACAATCAATGAGGTTATTTACACTGCCTCCACATGGTGGTTCAGGGTGGCAAGATATACATGCATGTGTATATATTAAGGCTGGGCAAGTTAACTCGTTATTATCACGTTAACTCATCAATCAAGTAACGCCGACAATTATTTTATCTCGTATTAACACAGTTTTTATTATTTCTTTGATTACTGTAAAAGTCTGTTGCTCCCAGGCTTTTATTTGGTAAAACTAAAAGTACCGGAACCGGAAGTACAGGAACCGAGAAAGTAAAGAAATTGTCGGATAAACAAACTCACAAACATGGAGAAGGGTACGGCACTTTTACGTGGCCATTTTCATTTTAAAGTTCTTTCAGATAGCGCAGTCGACAGAAGCAAAGTTATTTGTAATCACTGCAAAGTTGAATTGTCTTATCACCGGAGTACTTCGAGTCTAAAATATCACCTAAATGCAAAACACACAGTTGATACCAGCAAATCATTTAACGAAACAGACAGTGGAGCGAGACTACTTTAGATGCAGCGTGTGGGAGAAGTATAGATAAACAAAGGCAAGAGAAGCTAACATGCCATAGCCAAGTGGATAGCTACCGACTGCAGGCCGATTGGTATATTTACAGACCATTTCCCTGCACCGTAAATCCCAGCAGTGA